TTTTGTATACTTCTCAAGTAAATTTTCTGGCTCTATGCAATATTGACAAACTTAGTAATGTAAAATCATAAGCCAAATTTCAAGAATCTTGATAAAAGGAACTTATCTTGAGTTTGGTCTGGGAACTGAATTTCTTGATTTTCTATATGCATAGGTGGGCTCCTAGCTTTCCCTTTCAGCTGAATTTCTCATTTAGCTTTGAGAACAAAAGTTTGATTCCAAGAAAACCCCAACAAATGAGATTTACAAGGCATATTCCCACAGCAGCAGTACAAATAGGTGATGATGATTTTGAAACTTGATGACAGAACTGGAGACAGAGGAGGACCAAATGATTTAGTCAATTAAAAAAAATGTTTTATGTATTGTTATTTATAGCCAGAGTCTACATATAAATTTTTTTTTGAGATGAATATGTTGAAATGTTTCTCTGCAGAAGATATTGAAAATAAAGGTTCTGTGTGGGAGTTTGGAGGATCTTGAATTTTGAACTTTTGCAATAGAGTACTTTTTGTTTCACATGAAATTTCCATTTCTACTATGCTACCAGCATCATGCCTTTCTCTTGAGGTTTAAGTGAAAAGAAGACAAGTGACAGAGGATGTGAGATGCTCTGAGAGACCCTTGTATGTCTGAGGATGAAAACCAGGTGTGATAAAGCATGTCAGTCCCCTAAATACCAGAATCACCAATTGTTTGCAACTCTGTTTCAGATTAGGGTTGTACTAGCAAAAGGACAGATCCCTTTGCCCTTCTTCTTGCCTTTGAGAGTGGTTTGCAACACTTTCTCCCACTAAGCAGATTGAAAAAAATCATGGGAACAGACCATTTTGCATCCTGCATTACCCAGAGGTAAATACTATAATCAAAGCAAACTCCCATTGCATTACCTTTATGCATTCTTTTATACAGTAATATTACAGATGGTTAATCATCATTTTACTAGATTCATCCTCTGCTTAGAGCACTTCAACCTCTGATGTTTGTAACAGTGAATGTGAAGGTGGGTACCTTGTCTTTCATGTGAGGGCAGAGTTTCTCTTCCACAATAAATGCACTGAATAGTGGATTTCCTGTATGAGGATAATTGATTAGCCATGACCTGAGGTCCCTTTTGAGTAATTCTATACATAAAGTCATAATCTCAGAGAATTTACCTTGGAGGACTTCAGCTTCTCAGTTTGAAATGCATGGCTGAACAGCCTCTCATGTTCATCTTGCTTTGCAGTTCTTATCCCTTCTAGGATGTTTTACACTCTTCTATTCTGTCCTAGGTCATATCAGAGATCTTAGTGGAAGTTTTGTCTTTAGAGAACATGGAAGAGTGGAAATGAAAATATGTCCTCAATATACTAAATTGTGCTGCCAACATGTGAATGGTTTCAGGATGCTGCTCTTTCATTATTTATCATTTATGGCTAGAGATTTCAAACATCAAATACCTGAAGGTTTGAACATATTCCCACTGAAGAATTTGTCTATTCTGCAGCTCTGCTGGAACTTCTTCTAGGACAAGAATAATTATTGCTGCATTCTTGTATATTTGCAGCTTTTAACTTGCACAACACTGGTTTCTTTTTCCTTCCTTCCTTTAAACTAGCTTAGTGCTTTAAAAATTCAGCACTGCCTAATAGGGCTTGGTGGCCTAAGATTATGTGAAAAAAATATTTGCTGAAAAATATGCCATTAAGTTTTTACAAAGCAGACATGAATTTGCCAGTTGTGGCCTATGATCCTTACTACAAAATCATTCTCAGGATTCAGGAAATTAAATTGAATTTCGTCTCTTGAGAGTCAATGTCTGCATTCACTTCAACCTCCAGAGGCAGACATAAGTGGCAAGCTGTGGAATTCCAGATGCAACATCTAAATCTTTCCTGCCAGTAGTCCTACTTTTTCTACACAATTATTATATGATCTCATAGCAATCATTTCTATACTTAGGATGGTTTTAGCTATTATGCTTTTTGCACTGAGTGGAAGAATATCAGGGCTGAATGTCTTCAGACAAAAAGGCAGCTGAATCAAAATTTCCAATATGCTTGGTAAATTTCCTAACTCTGGATGATGAACTACAAAAATAAGTGGAATTGCCCTTTGGTTTTCTGATCACTTTAATCTTTGGATGGATTAATCTCTTGAATATAAAACCAAAATTTTAAGATCCAGTTGAACTGAATAACTTCTTGGTTAGTTGCAACAATAAAAAAGTGTAAATGTTTGCATAGCCTTTTTGGTGATCTTTTGTGACATTATAGCCTGACGGGGATGAAAAGGTACCAGAGATGTACATCCTTTATCACCAAGACAATAGAACAAGTCTTGCACATGACAATCTTCTAAGCAAGATTAGTTTACTTAGGTATTTCAAATTGCTTGGAAACTACAGAGAGAGTAAAGTTTCAATGGCATTCTCTTAAATGTAGGAACACACATTTTGCAGAGTTCTGTGAGGAACTAAAGTTCTTGCTAACAGTCCGGATTGCAGAATTGAACAAATTGATTACATTTGTATATGACAGTGGAAGATAGGCTTAAATTCCAAGCATTTTTGACAAACTGGATAAATATTTTGGAAAAAAGTTATATTCAATAGAGACAGTAAAAAATGGAGAAATATTCAACCATAGAAATATGAACAATGGATTAGGTGATCTTGAGGGAAACAAAACTGACCAGAGTTTAAGTTTTATCACTAAGTGATACTGCTGTTACAACCAAAGCTTGCATTCCATATGGAAGCATGGAAATGGAGTACACACTGTGACACGTGCATGATTATCCTTCTTTTCCTATAAACAGTTACAAGATCCCTGCATGATTATCCTTTTCTTAGAAACAATTACAAGATCCCAAGTAGCTTATTAGCTCCAGCTTTGGACTGCAAATAAGATACAAATCAGTTGAGGACAGTCCTGATGAAAGCAGGAGGATACATCAGCTCTTGAGATGTCCTGGAGTGCCTAAAGAAGAGTTTCTGGAAGTGGGCTTTACCTGTGTAAAGACTGAGGGGAATACGCTGCTTGCTCTCCCTTTGGTGGCTATGCAATACCCGGAAATCACAGCAAGGGCGGTTCAGGTTGTGCATTAAGCAAATCAAAACAGGTTCAGATTGTGCATTTGGCAAATCAAAACAGGTTGCCTGAGGAGGCTGGAGTGGTGCTACTGCTGGAGGACTTCATTCTGGGTTAGACAAACACTTGTCAAGAATGACACATACATGTAGTTGGTTGTGCCTTGGGGCAGAGACACAGAGGAGCTGACCTTGCAAGGTACCTTCCAATCCTACTTTTTTAAGATAAAGAGCATTACGCTGTTTCCTCCATCCCACCTTCATCATTCAGAGTTTTCCTGTTCTGCCTTCAAGCTTTCCCTTATCTCCAGCTACTCTCCTAAAAATAACCTTTTTACTGCCTCTTTTACTATTTTATGCGTATGTAGGAAATGCTTCCTGAACAAGATGGTTCTGTGGATGGACAAGACTTATCCATGGAAAAGGACAGGACTACTTCTCACCGTTCATAGCTATGTACTGCGGTTACAGAAAGAAAAATCTTACTGCAGGATTAAGACCTAGACATTCAGAAATATTTTAGCCACCAATAGGAACAGGGACGGTAGCCGAAGTGACAGCTTTCTATATGCAGGGCATATAGAAAGGAAGGGAGTTAGAGGAAGCTTTATTTTTCAATATTCATTCTGGACATGTCAAGGTTATGACTCTGATACACATTTTCCCACTGTTTGATGTGACAAAGCTGAAAGGGCAGTAGGTCCTAGTAAGCTTAACCCGAGTGTCCTCCTGTTTGGCTGAGAGGAGTTAGTTTGGGAAGACAAGGTAATTACACTGCGTAGTCAGAACGATCACCTGAACTCAGACCAGAAGCCCAAACGGGTCCGACCGCAACACGCTGCGTACAAATAGACATCGCTTTGAACATCTCCTTCCCTCGGTGCTGCTCCCGAAGTGGGGGACGACCTCAGCCCCGCGCGGTTCGGAGAAGGCTGGAGCTGCTCAGCTTGCGGCCGGGCGGGCTCCGGAAAGGCGGCGCTGCGGGGGGAGTCCGGGGAGAGCCCGGCAGGTGAGCGCCCCAGCACCCCGGCAGGGAGCCGCCCGCGGGCTCTCCGCGCGGTTCCCCCCGCATTTCACGTAGCGCCGAGGAGGACGGACCGGAACGGGAATTGCAAGCCCCGTCCCCGATGCGCGGCGGCGGCAGAACGAGCAGCAGCAGCAGCATCGCCCGGCTCCGGCCCGCGGGCCGCGCACCGGGCTGTCGCTCCCCGCCTCGCCCGCCGGGGAGAACGGCGCGGAGCCGGCGGAAGGCGCGCATGGGGCGGCCGGGATGAGGGGGCGCGGTGGGGCGGGCCCGACACCGCCCGTGCCCGGCCCGGCCCGCGCACGTGGCGGCGGGGGGCGCGGGCCGCCCCTCCCTGCCCGCCTCCCCGGCGCGAGGGGCGCGCTGTGCCGCGGCGCCGGCAGCAGCCCTCCTCTCCTGTTTTTTGGGTTGTGGGATTTTTTTAGTGTTTTTTTTTTTTGTTTTTTTTTTTCTTCCTTGAACTCTTGCTTAGCAAATTGCGCGTGATGAGCTCATGATGCCGCGCCCCCCCCGCCCAGGCTGGGGCAGGCAGGGGGACGTGAGGCGGGCGGGCGCGGCCAGCGGCGGGGGCTCTGCGCGGCTGGGAGGAGGGGGAGCCCTCGCTCCCACGCTGTTTACTGGACTCGGGTTGTGAGGCTTTTCCCTCCTTTTTTTTTTTAACATATATATATATATATATATATATGTGTATTTATTTATTTATTGCCCCTGTCCCGCTGCGTGGCGGGTTGTTTGCCGCTCTGTTCGCAGGTGGATCCATGAGCTCCCCCAAGAGCGGCACCGCCGCCGCGCAGCGCCGCGCCGGGGCGGGGGGAGCGGCCGCCAGGTTCGGCCCCGCCGCCGCTGCGGGGGGCGGCCCCGCCCGGGCTCCGGGTGGGCAGGCGTGAGGCGGGCGAAGTTTCTCCGCGGCGCCGGGCCCCTCCGAGGGACTGCGGGCAGGGAAGAACCTGGCCCCGCGGTGCTGAGGGAGCCGACACCGCCGCCGCCAGCAGAGCAGCCCGGCTTTGGCCATGAAGAGGAAACAGAAGAGGTTTCTGCAAATGACGCTGCTCTTCACCGCGGCTCTGATTTTCCTGCCTGACATCGGCCTCTGGTCTCTCTACAAGGAGAAGCACCTGGTGAAGCCGCCCGAAGCCGCCGAGCCGCAGGTAGGTGCGAAGCCGGCCGGGAGCACAGCCCCGCGCCGGGGCAGGGCAGGCGGCAGCCGCCCCTCGGGGCACGGCCCGGGCTCGCCCCCCGCGGGGCCCGGCTTCGGCCCGGGGCGCGGAGCGGCAGCGGCAGCACGTGTGCCTGTCCGACCGCCGCGCCGGAAAGTTGTGAGAGAGAGCATCTGAGTCTGCCGGGCTGGGCTTCCCCGGGAAGGGCGAGGGGTGAGCCGGCACAGAGGCTGCCTCGGAAATTAGGAGGACGTGGGATTTTGTGCGTTGCGTTGGTGAGCTGAGGGGGATGCTGGGCTCTAATTTTCATTACAAGAAGTGGAGGTTTCAGTGGAACTTTTTGTTTGCCTGCCTCTCTGTAATACTTCTCGAACTGGTGTGTGGCTATAGGTCCGCTGAAATTGCTTGGGATCCGTGTAGATGTCTTCCCACCGAGATTTTTTTGTTTCCTCTTCTGTTGTAAATTCAACAGAAGTGACTGGCAGTGTTTTTTTCTCGTCTGAATATTACTATTTTGACCTGATGCGGCGACGCTGTGTTTAACTGCTTGTCAGACTGATGTCGCAAAGAACTTTCGAATGTTTACAGTTTCTCGATCGCTGTTTTTAATACGAGCAGTTGACAGCTTATGTTTTGCTTGAGTTATTCTTCAACTTGATGGGTTTATGTATGGCTCATAAATCACAGTATGACCTGCATTAAGTGAAGTTTAGTTTTAGGCAGTTGTTGTAATGCACTTCTTTATAACCCTGCCTGTAATTTACCAAAGCTTGTGTTTGTTTTGTTCAAGAGTACAATGCTCCTACACTGTAATTGTCAGTGTAATTTAAATATAACATGAATGTTTCATAGATCATTGGTAAGAAATTATGGGATTGTATAATCTTTTAGCTTGTTTACCACTTATATAGCCTTCACATTAGAGTGTATTAGATAGCATCATATATCATTTTAGTAGCCTTTGTTTCAAGGGTCATCACCCATGTATGGTCAATGGCTTCAATTGAGCAATAACATATTTGATTCTTTGTTAATAAGGGTATCCATTACAGAAGTTAGTCCTACAAAGTAGGATAACTTTGGTTAATGAAATATACTGAATATTACTAGAGGAGGAAGTTAAGGATAGCTTCTTAATTTGAAGCTTACTTTATGTTTCCATGGGTTTTAAAATGCAGTAGGTGTCAGGTGCTAAAATTTAGTTGGAAGTAATTTCTGCTGAAAGAAAATTATGCGTGATCATAAGTGTCTGTCATTAGTTTACAAGGTGCACACTGCAGTCTTTGCAGTTTCTAATTTACTTTGTGACTTAGGAAAGCTAAGGTATTCAATGCAAGTAATGATGTCCCTGTGTGTTGCATGGCTCTTTAGATCACACATGCCTTGAAGAAATTTCTAATGTTCAAGAGTGCTAAGTAGAACATTATTTGATAACACTGAATGGGAGCTTTTTTATTAAGAAAAAAAAAAAAGGGTTCTGGATAAAGTGGTGTAAGACATAGAAGCTAAGCATATGTCAAGGACTAGTGAGGCTTTCTAATGAGACCCCAAAAAAATTTTACATCCTAAGTTTTCTGTAAAGGTCTTTTGGCTAGCTTCCTTTTTTCTCCCCCTTGTTTTTCCCCTTCCCTCCCAGTCTGAATACTGATTGAACAGTAATGGGACTGGACTACTTAATGGAAAAACAGTAAAAATGAGCAGTGAAACTTTGAACCTTACAGCTGACTCTAATGTAGTTCCGTTATCTTGGTAAGTATTGAAATCATGTTGGCAATGCCATTACCCAGTGAGGATGGAAGGCTGAAGTACAGACAAGTAATGCAATTAGGTTACTTATGTCTTTTGATGTGCACATTATAACCCAAAATACTTACAAGGAGCAGGGATTGAAATACGAGTTTGAGTTCCAACTCCCTGAAATATAAAGAAAATTGTAAGGCTTCTTTGAGACTACTCTAGAAATGAGGGTAGTTTCTTTCATACTAGAAAAGACTGCATTAGAAATGGTATCTTAGAAATGTAACTTCTTTTTCCCTATTAAGTTACTGGCAGGTGCAAGAATTTAAACACTCAGCGCAGTTATTCTTTGCCCTTGAGGTATTCAATTTCTTGATACTTTGTATGACTTAACACAAGTTTAGAGGTCAGTCCTACTGGAGCTGCAGCAGACTTTTCTTACACATTCTAAGACCATGTTAGGTTACAAAGATAGGTGTGTAGAGTCAGTACATTGTGCTAGTGATGTGCAGATATTGTGGTGTGTCCTGACCATGGGAGAGAGGCAGAGCTGTCTGTGACTTCAATAATTTAGTTACAGGCTGAACTGGTCTTGCCTTTGTGAATGAAATGAGCATCTAGTTGGTATTCTGACCTTGACAGTAGTGTTTATAAATGTGCTGTCTTGTTTTAAGAACAAATAAATTCATGTTACAGAGCATCAGGTGGTTTTGAGGAGATGGCATGGTGAAATGATGTTTTGACTGCTTATAAATTAAGCTTTCCCATTCATTGCTGAAACAAACATCCCCAGCCTTCCCTGTGAATGAGGGCTCTGTCAGCCTCTCCCACCACCTCAGCTGCTTGCCATACACCGGAGTGAAGGATGTATGGCAGGTATTGATGGAGCAGGTATTGATATCCTGGCAGCAGTAAGCCGAGAAGCTGCTCAAAAGCAGTCCACAATGCAAAAATAGTCTGTTTCCATCAATGGTAGAACAGTGTCCCCTGGGGACTGTGTCATTTCCAGTGCCTAGAAGAGGCACTTGCATTCTTTACTGCTATCTAGAAATTCTAATATGACAAACTAAGTTGACTTTTTTTTTCATTAAAATAGTGCTGCAATATGTTACATAACAATAGTTCTTCCTTGTGCAAATTCTGTTTCCGAGTAGAGAAGCTCTTCTTTAGGAAAAGTTGAAAAATGAGAAGATGATGCAGCTAGGATTTCAGACAACATTAATGATTTTGATTGCTTTACATTAATTCTATAAATAGAATTAATCTCTGTGAACCTTCATTTCATATAAACTTTTTAGAGCTGTCGTGTTTTCACTTGAGAACTTGATAGGCTTGATTTTTATATTTTGGTTATTGTTATTGACTTCTGGTTTATCATGTTATTTAAAGTGGAGCTTCAAGGGTAAATGTACACGTAAAGGTTCTGAGTTATGTGGTGCAACAAGATTTCCATAAAATACAGTTTGACATAACTGGTAGACATGAGGGAAAAAAATATAGTTTATTTCTAGTTTCATCTTTCTAAGACTGCCTTCCTTGCTATACTGTGGGAATAAAGGAAATTGAATAGGGTATTTTTATTGCCTTTTTAAAAAAGAAGTCTTAAAAATTCCTTAAAACATTATGGTGTCCTTGAGTTTTGATTGGATTTTTTACAATTAGTTTAACTTCGGAGGGGGGAATTTGTTTCTTTTTGTTTTGTCATTGCGATATTATGTATGTGATGTAACTATCTTGCTGATCTTTTGATAAAATTCCAATACCAGGGTGTTTGCATACTAAGTTATGCTGGTAAAACTTTTAATTTCAGTTTTGTGTTCTGTGGAGGAAAAGCAACAATTTAGTGCAACCAGTAGGATGTAATCCTGGCCCAAACCTAGTTATCTCGTACCATCTAAAGTTAGTGCTACTTTGTTTGGCTTTATGCTTGTCTGTTCATACACTGTCAGTGTATGAAGCATAACTTCATGTAAAAGTACCAAATTTCTTGCAGCAGTTTTCCAGTGTCTGTAATGTAGGTATTGTAATACATATTTCTTTCTGTTTGTATGGGAGGCCAGTGTTGGGTGGTGACTGAAAGGAGAGGAGTCTGATGAAGTAACCCCTAATATATTTCAACTTCATTTTGTATTTTTTCCTTCGTCATATCCCTGCTTCCTGGTGTGAAATCTCCTCGCTTAAAATTGAATTGAACAGCAGCATCTCTTAGTCACAGATGCTCTGTAGTACTTACAGGTGTATTACTGAAATGCTTTATGATGTGTAAAGTAAGGAAAAGAAGGTAGACTTCTGGCTTTGTTTCACATATGCTCTGGCTTTTTTTTTTTTTTTATTTTCGTGCATGCATGGCGTCCAAAACAAAGAGAAAAAGCTGTGCAGTGAGGAGGCAACATTGTTCCCATGGGATAGTCATAGAGTTCTCTTTCCATTGTCCTGTGAAGCCTGTGCTTCCATCTGGTTAGCCCCAGTATTACACCTTTCGCATGGGATAGTGAGGTATGGATTTAAATGAACTCCTTAGGATAAGGAGAACTTAGTCTTTACAAATCCTAGGCCTCTATTGTAGTTGGCAAACAGGCACAAAATCGACTTACTAAGCCTGGTGGTTATGAAAGTAGTGACTTTGTCTTCTGAATCCAGAAAACATCTTCAGCCTGAATTCTGTCTTGCAGGCAGTCATTAGTTTCTGAAGTCTGTGAAAGAAGTGACAATTTAAATTTACCCCAGAATGCATTGTTTCCTACTGTTCAGCACACAGATTTTGATAATCATAAATTTTCTAGGACAGTTAACCCTGTCAAGTCACTGTTGATGCCTGCAAAGTACAAAGCTTGGGTTGGTGAATTCTGTTTCTGGTGCATAAAAGCAACATCTTGAGAGCACAAGTTTCTTTCTCCCCCCACCTACACAGCTTTTATTCCCTTGCTTTTCTGGTTGGTCTCAACAGCTGCAAAATCTTGTACAAAATATGGTTCAGTTAGGACATAAATATACACCTATTTTCTATTATTACACTGTTAGGACACTGTCAGTTACTTCTGTATTTAGTTCCACTGTCTCAATTATTTACCTTTGCTTTCACCACAAACTTATGAGGCCAGAGATTTTTGTTTCTCTTAGTAGAGGAGTAAATAAAGCTTAGAGTGACAAACAGGCTCAAGTCTACAAAAGTAGCTGCTTGACTGCTGCTGACATTTATTTGTACTATTTTGGGAGAGTACCTGTCAGACTGTAAAAAATAATGATAATATGAA